AATCTGGAACTGGATCTTCCGGTTCAGAAAGTTCGCATTTTAGCCTACGAATGTTTGGGAACTTTCTCAATATCTTTTCCATGCTTGGATCAATGAAAAGCAACAGATTGGAGAAAGTGCTCAAGTTATACAGAATGGAGGAGTTTTCATGCACGTCTTTGGCCAGGCTAATGTCACCGGAACTACCACTGATGCATAGATGCCTCAAATTCGTCATATTCCAGATTGTCTCCGGCAACATAACATCACCCAAATAGACATCGAGAATAAAGGTTTCCAAATTGGAGAGGTGGGCTATTGAACATGGGATGGATTGCATCATACCACGGATTGCCAAGTACCTTAACTCAACAAGCACCTCTATTTCAGTTGGAAAATTTTCACCTAGGAAAACCTGTCCCAAATCTAACACTCTAAGAAGTTTGCAGATTTGAAAGATGAACAAGCTATCGGAGTACTTTCTTGGGTACCCATCACCATGAGAAAAGAACATTAGACAACGTATCTGAGGACAGAATAGCCTTGACTTCTCAAAATGCTCTTGCTTAGAGTATATGCACAATCTTCTTGTATTGAATGACTCGCTAAAAGTAAAAAGCCCCTCATAACCATGTAAAAACTGAAAAAAATTCTCTTCTTTGGCTTTTGTTGCACAAAACTCGCGTACCAAATCATGAACTCGACAAGTTTTAACGCCACCAAAGGATCTTTGTTTGGAAACTATAATTAAGCTTCTGCCAATCAGATCCATCATGTAGTCCTCTGCCACTTCCTCTACTTTCTTCTGCTCAACTTCCTTAACAAACCCTTCAGCAATCCATAACCGCAACAACCTTTGAATTGGAATTTCTTGGCCCTGTGGAAATGCTCCAGCATAAAGAAGGCATGGCTTCAAGTAGTCAGGTACATGCCTATAGCTCAACTCTAACATATTCATTGACTGCTCTGTGAGACTAACATTTCTTGCACTCATCCTTTCTGCAAATTGTTTCCACCCATCTTGTTCTATTGTTGCAAGAATTCCAGCCACAATCACAACTGTGAGAGGCAGCCCACCACAATTTTCTGCTATTTGCTTCCCAATTGTGCATAGTTCAGGAGGATAAGGTTCAGTGGGAAAGAGCATCTTCTGTAGTAAATCCCAGCTCTCATCATCAGTGAATTGGCGAAGACGGTCAGGTTCAACTTGTGAAGCCACCTCATACTGTCGGCTTGTTATGAGAACTCTGCTTCCCTTTTTATCATCTGGAAATGATCTTTTCAAGATATTCCACGCATCAATGTCCCATATGTCATCCAAGACAATGAAGTACCTATATCTCTGCAGGGAATTAAGAAGCTTATGAGCCAAGTCCTGTTCATCCATGTCACAGTATTTCTTAGAAACATCAGGATTAATGCCACGCAAAAGCTCAAGCAACAAATCCTTCATGCAATATACTTGAGAGACATTGCACCATGCCCGAATATGAAAGTCTCTTATAATTGAAGGATCTCTGTACACTCGTTGGGCTAAAGTTGTCTTGCCAAGTCCTGGCATGCCCACAATGGATACGATGTCCAACTTCTCTGATCCATGCCTAACTTGATTAATTATTCTTTCTGTCTCATCTTTGAAACCTACTGCACCATTATTCAGTACTGGGATGATTCCTTGTGATGTGACATAATTAGAAGTTTTGACAACTTTCTGGGCTTCAGAGCCATAGGTCTCATCAATCTCAAGGGCCTCAGTCTTGATAAGCAATAATTCTTCTAATATGCTATCAAAGGACAGAGGAGAAAGATCAAAGGAGTTAATGACAAACATTACCTTGTTTGCTACCTCAATAACATGACTCCAGAAAGCTTTGAGCTTTTCATGCTTGTTATGCTGCTCAGCAATCTTCTCAAAAACAGATCCCAAGAATACAAAATCTTTCTGGACTGTCCAGATTTTATCCTTTGAATGAGCAAGGAAATCAAGCTCCGCGAGTTCCGTCAGATTCTTTAGAAGAAACTTTATTAAGCCAAGCCCGTTGGTCCCCGGAGATTTGAGAGTTGACGTTACCAATCTAATAAGCTTAATCTTCTGGAGCAAATCAGAAAATCCAAGATCCACATCCTTGGGCAGGCCTCCTCCTGTTTCATTTGCAGAAAGTGAAAGAATCAAAATTCCAGCCTCATTGACTGCAGCTCCTACAAGATCCATCATTTTTTGGTGTAACCCACTGAACTTCTCCTGCTGCTTTTTGAGAATGGTTCTCAAGAATCTGAGTCCATCATACAGCATTTGCATCTGATCTTGCTTTGCAACCACAAAGCTGGTGTTGTGGTTTAAAACCTCCCAAAGTATACCTGTGAGGGAATCAGCAAAATCCCCAACTATACACATATCTTTCTCAAGATTTAAGGTCTGCAATGAACCTGATAATTTTGAACTTCTTAAGCCCTGGATACAACTCTCGTGAAACTGGGAATGAAGATGCTTGATGTCCTGTAGCAGTTCAGAAATCATAGAGTGCATTTCATTACACTCTTTTTTATCAAATAGTCTGTCAAACCAACAACTGTAAGAGAGGTCCGCTGCCTGGACTGCCACAGCTTGCAAGCCAGCCGTGGGATCTTTCAACAGACTAGACTCGACACCTTGCCATGTTGCAAAGAGAACAAAATCCTTCAAAAATTTTAACTTCTCTTGGAGGGCTTCGAACTTTATCTTATGCAAACCTCGATCATAAGCTTCAATCGGGCTGACAACATCCACCAGATTCTCTAACAGCGAGTCAACGAATTCCACTAGTACTTCATCTATCAAAGCAGAGAGATTGGAAGGCACTACAAAAGCCCGCAAACTACAGTACATCGTGCTGATTTCAATGTCAAAAGAGCTGAATTTTGCTCTAAAATCAAGGATCGCTTGGTCCAAATGATCGCTGAAGGAGATTCCATCCTCTGTTAGAGCACAAAAGGCCTGAGCATGATAGAGAACAGCATCTTGAAGGCTAGACAAGAAAGCTTCAAGCCTTGCATCCTTCCATCCATCGAGGCTCCATCTTCTTGCACACAGAAGAAAAGTTCTCACAAGTTTTGATTCAAGCTTCACAATTTTCAGCCCCTCATTGTATTTCTCTTTCTTCACCAACTCTGGATCTATATTTGCCAAGTCATCTATATTATCTAACAAAGGCTTGATGTTAGCTAAGACTGAATTAATGGAACTAGAAGCCATCTCAAACTTCAGGTTTCTGCGAAGTCATAGAACAACTTCACTAGATCAAGAAGTGTTTACCCCTTTCTCAACATTTCATTATTCCAGTCAACCCCTTTCTTCCTTGAATTTTGTAAAGTTTTTAAGAATCAAAGAAGCAATATTAGCGTTTAAATCTGCTGGCCTGCACTCGATTTTAGTTTTTTATTTCTTAACTGTTGTTGTTATTTCTTTTTACTAGTTGAATTCAAACCCAAATGTAAGAAGAATGGAATTAAGTAAACATTAGCGCATAAATCTTGTCAATTTGTTGGAAAGAGTCAAATAAGCATTTGCCAAGTGGTGAGTAGTCACAACAAAAAGAGTAGAATACATATTAGCACAGCACCAATAATTGGAGTGGTTGCAACTTGCAAATGCAAAATATATTTGGAAAATGGGAATGGGTCAAAGAAGAAAAATAAGACAGACCGACAGGAAAGCAATTCTTTATGTAAGAGCTAGAATTTATGGATATTACTTTAATTTGGCGGCCTATCTGATTAGAATGCAATTATTGTCATCAAATAAAAGAAAAATACGACTAACTCCACTTTGCATCTTTAAACTTGTATCACTAGGGGTGGCAATGGAGCCGGGTGAGGGAGGGATCCCTATTAATTCCCCACACTCCGTCCCATCCCCCGCCCTCGCTTCCCCCGCCTTGCCCGGCCCCGTTTCCTCCGCGAAGGCACCCATGGGGTTAAAAAAATTTATTATATAATTTCATTATAATTAAATTTGATCAAATAATCAAGTACTAAAATATCAACATATCATCAAATTATTATTCATTGTAACTTCACAATTGGAACTCATAAAAATAATTAAACAAAAGTTATTTGAATACAATCTAATATGATAAAACAAATATAACTAAAATAATCAAGTTTTTACCTTTGATACAAATACAATCACTAAATTATTAGAAAAAAGTGTTATTATATTAAGTGTGGTTGGGAATTTAATATAAATGTATTAATAAATTTAATATAAATACTTAATAATTTTTATTAATAGACATGTATAATTAGTAGTATAATTGATAATATCATTATATATATATATATAATTATGCACATATATATATATATATATCTTTTTTGTTTTCCAAACGGTTGGCGGGGTGGGGGTGGAGTTGGGGAGTATAACCCCGCCCCCCACCCCGTTTCTAAACGGGGGAAAAAATTCCCTCCCTTCCACCGCATCATTTTGGTACGTATTACCAAAATATGTTCCAATTTCGCCAGCACCCACTATATAACTTCATTCTGCCCTGGTGATACTTCAATATAAATTGTAGAAATATATAGACTGCTGTAGACCATTTGATTCCTCCCTCCCTCCCTTTTTTTTTAATTCTTTCATTTTACAGCACAAAAATAATGTCCGTACACTTTAGATTTTACGGCGGACAAATTTATGGCACAAAAAATTGTAATCTGCCCACCTATTATTTTTTTATTCTTTTATTTTATAGAAAACATACGGAGAACAACTACCGATAATGTACATGCACTTTAGATTTTTGGTCTAAAAGAAGATTTCAAACTTTACAAAAAGAGAAGAGAAAAAAATATTTTTGATCTAAAGGAAAACTCCAAACTTTACAAGAGAAAAAAAGAAGGTTAAAAAAGCAGGCTATGAAAGAAGATTTCAAACTTTACAAAAGAGAAGGAAAAAAAAATATTTTTGATCTAAAGGAAGACTCCAAACTTCAATAGAGAAAAAGAAGGTTAAAAAGGTGGGCTCGTCATAGAATCAAAATGCCATGGCCCAGCAGCACCGACTTCTTAAAGGGCCCAATATTTCCACGCCGTATGATTTTAAATACTCCAAACAAAGTGGACTTTTTCAACAGGCTTAACAAAGATTTCCCTAGACACTCATTCATAATCAGACTGATGATTCATTCTCCTTCACTTGGAACTTCAGTCTAAGAACAGCAAGTGAAGTAGTAGGAGCATTGGCATATTTACACTCAGCTATCTTAATTCCCATCTATTATAGAGACATCAAGTCCAACAATATACTTTTGGATGAGAAGCACATAACCAAAGTATCGGATTTTGGAAGGTCCATTGAAGCTGATAAAACTCGTACAACTACACTTGTTATAGGTACTTTTGGCTACTTGGATCCGGAATACTTTCAGTCAAGCCAATTTACCGATAAAAGTGATGTCTACAGTTTTGGGGTTGTTCTTGTTGAGCTCTTGACAAGAAAAAATCCCATATCATCATCTGAATCAGAAGAAGATAGTCACTTAAACTTGGCCAAAAGGTTTGTGACCCTGCTGGATGAAAATCGTGTTGACAGTATTCTTGATCGTCAACTTCTGGATGAGAGCATGGAGGAAGAGATTATGGCTGTTGCTAAACTGGCTCAAAGATGCCTAGACTCGAATGGGAAAAACAGGCCAACTATGAAGGAGGTAGCCATTGAGTTGGAAAACGTCAAAAGGGCGGCAAATGGTTCAACTGTTTGTCGCGCCCCATTTTTCGCGATGGGAAAATAAAAGGTGTTTATAAAAGAAGTGATTTTATTTTAAAATAAATGAAAAAGAACCTAAAATGGGACTTTAAAAATACGACAGTCTGGGTCCAAAATTTAGTCTAAAAGGATTTTTAAAAAAAAATAAGAGTCGCCACTTGATATTGAGTTTGGATGTACCAAGTCACCCAAAAATTACTTTTAAATAAAATAAAATAAAATAAAACCCTTTTCGGCAACTTCAAATCTTTGAAAACAGAGAAAATGAGTTCGGGAGTCACGGTTGAAGAAAGGGAAAGCAAATGTTGGATTAACTCAAACCTAAGGCACCCTTTCAACCTAGTCTAAGTTAGTTGCGTGGTTTAGTCAAAATTTTCTTAATCTAACCCTTAAATTTATCACATTTGGATGTTTCTTACATGGATGCAAATCTAAAAATAAAATATCGAAGGGGACAAAATATCCATTCAAAAGTTTAATTGATATCAATCGCATTGATTGCAAAGGCCAAAATAATTCCTTGAAGGGGTCACGAGTATGCAAATGATGAAATTAAAAGATAATTAAATTATATACATAGGTAAAAGTGATCAAAGAAAAAGGAAATGAAACATAATGGGTATGAGAGACAAAAACTCGTGACATAATTTTCTTATACAAGAATTAATGGGGTATTTAAACTAAAGAGTTACAATCACTCATATCCATGTTCAAAGAATAATTCTCATAATATGAACAAGCAAATGAACTAATTTATTTCACAAATTCTTAAATGAAATGCAATTCTAAATGATATGATTAACACATATGGAGGATAGGGAGATAATTTTTTTTTTTTTTGTCAAAAAAAAGGACCTGACCCCACTTCAGGCCCCAACCCTTATTCGGGTTGTTGGGTTACCCCATTTTCGTTACTGGGACTCGAACCGGTGACCTACGGGACACTACCGCATGTGGTCACCGGCTGAGCTACCCAGGAAGGGCAGGATAGGGAGATAATAGATAATAGGAAATATCATGCAAATGGGAAAAGATCTTAGAATAAAAATATGCATGAAAATGTAATGAATATCACACAAATGAATCTAATGCATGAACAATCTATGGGTCTAACATTGGACTAACCAATTTCTAAAAAATCTTACTAGCGTTGGGCTAACAAGTGGGCGGAGGGAGAAGCCACAACTAGCATTGGACTAGTGTGGTGACGTCATGCATTTATAATACACAGTAAACAAATAAAGTATAAATTAAAATAAATAAACACATAAGAGCACGTAGCACATAACACATAAGTATAATATCTAGATACAAATATCCTAAGAAAAGCGGTAACACATAGCAAGCAAGTATGCAAATTACAATAAGCAAATAAAGCAAACAAGCCCTAACTATTACATTAGGGGAAGGGCCTACTACAATCTAAAAGGGGAAATAAAATAAATAGTTAAAATAAATACCTAATTATTACAATTGTGACATTTAATTGCCTTCCCAAATAATTTCGAATTAAATTAAAATAAATATACAAAATTAAAAAAAGTAAATAAATAAATAAAAACATTCAAGAGGCATGCAATTAAGCACATAAAGTCATATAGGGCACGTAGGGTCAAATAAAGTCAAAAATAAGGGAAAGAGTGTACCTTCCCTGAATTGGTACCCTAATGAAATAAAATTACTTATTTACCCTCCAAAAATAAAGAAAAGGTCAAGACATCACTTTAAGTAACAAATAATCACATAAAAAGGGGGATGAATATGAAATTGAATTAATCGAGGCACTTAAATGAAGGTAAACAAACCATGTCTATGAAATTAAAACAAGTAAGGATTTAATTGTAAAAATTAATAAAGTTTTGAGGCCAAATTAAAGAAAAATAAAGTTAAGGGACCTATTTGCAATTAAAATAGGGATCTTATTAAAAAAACCTAAAGTAGTTAGTGCCACAATATAATTACTCAAATGTACAAGAACTGTTCTGCAAATTCGTTTCTGGTCTTCCTAACCCAACAAGCCACTTGGGCCATTTTATTTATTTGTTTGGGCCGAAAGCTCCTAGCCTAACCAAAACCCAAAGGAGTGGAGCAGGCTAAGCCTAACTCTTTTATCCAACAAACCCAATGCAAAAGAGTGGGCTTCCATTTCCAAGCCCAAGCAAAAATCCATAAAAATAAGCCAAGACCCATTTCCTAAAACCCAACAAAATGAACCAGATTTCATACCAAAACCCAACCAAACAAACCTCAGTCCAAAAATTCCAATTATTTTACCAAGCCCAATAAGATAATAAATTCACTAAGACAAATTAAGACTTAATCATACCCCAAATCATAGAAACAACATGCTTAAAAATGCACTTAAAATATGAAAAAGAAGATAAAAAAAACTCAATAGGGACATGATTGGTTCAATTACAAAAGCGTTTGGGCCACAATGTAATTATCTAAAGGTTGGGGGGCCAAACTGCAAATTTTCCAGATTATCATGCAAATGTCAAAGCCTTCATCTTCTTCGCTGGTTTCTTTCTTATTCTTGCTGGGCCATCCGAAACTTCTTCAGTTTGCAACCATGGCTGCGCCAGTGATAGACCGCCACCGGTCATCAATTGCCGACGATTGTTTTTTATTACTAAAAATTATTAAAATACACACCCTCACTCAATTTTTCGCGTAGGCTCCATTTTTTGAATCAGTTTTTACAAAAAAAAATGACCCAAGAGTGGCTGAAATAGCAAAAGACAGAGCAGCTTTTATTTTTCAAAACACCATATATTTTACCAAAAATCATAAAAATATACTATAACACTCCTTACAACTTTTACAATACAAACACGATTTTAATTTGACAAGAAAACAACATAAAAGGCTAAAATAAAGCAAAACATCCCCTAAAATTCGTTTTTTGTTATTTTGGCATTTTTCAAATAATTAACATGCATTCACAGAAATCATTTTTTTTCTTAATGTTTATTCATGGCTTCCCCAAAAATTCAACAACATCAGTAGCAACAACGAACAAAACCAAGGGATAAACAAGCATCAAAACATGTATTTAATTTAATAAATTAAAGAAAGAAAAAACTGGAAAAAAAAATAATAAGTACCTCAATGACGATTGTAATCTCTTGACTAAAATTTGATGAAATTACGAGCCTTTAACCGTTTTCATTGTTCTTGCCCTGTTCAAGAGAAAACCTGGGAGTGAGTGTTTTATTTGTTAAAAAATGAGAGGGAGAATCTGAGAGAGAGAGCCGAGAGATTTTTTCCTTCCCTTCTCTGTTTTCTATCCGTAGCCTTTGTCCGTAAGAGGGAGAGATGCGAGAGTGAGTCAGGGAGAAAATTTGTCTTTCTTCCCCCTTTCTGTCCGTTGGAGCTAAGGGCCTCTTGCAATTTTATCTTCTTATGCTTCTTTTGCTCTCTGGAAGTCCAGAGAAGGAGAGAGTAAATTGAGGGAGCCAAACAGCAGAGGGAGAGGGAATTTTTCGTCTCCTTCTTTTCTGTTCTAGCCGAGAGAAAGAGGAATGAGGGCCTCCCTTGCAAATTTCTTCTTCTCTGCTTTCTTTCTCTGTTTTTCCCATTGGGAGCTCTAGTCAAGAGATAGAGAATTTTTTCTTTTTGTTCTGTGAGGGAAAGAGCCGAGAGATGTGTTTTTTTTTTGAGAAAGAAAGGTGGGGAGTTCTCTGCCATTTTTCTGCTTCATTGCTCCTTCCTTCATCTGTTGAGAGCCAGGGGCTTCTTCTGCAAAACATTTCTTTCCTTCCCTCCTTTTGTTCCGTTGAGAGCCTTGGTCAAAAAGAAAAGAAAAGAAATCATTATGGGAGGCATCATGATGACCCTGGTCATCATGATGTCTTCACTATCTCTTTTTTATTATTTTTTTATTTTACAAAACTAATTTTTCTTTTTTTTTTCTAAAACAAACTTGTAAAAATGAGAAAATTATACAATGTAAAAAAATAAATATAAATTTAAAAAAATATTAAAAATTAACAAAAATTTGATTCCTACACTGGTCACAGCCAATTGTTCAAGAAAGGAGAGTGTGAAGATGTGTTGATAGCTGATTCTGAAACTTCATGGACATCCGAAAGTGATAGCATTAGGTTAGCTCCAGCTGCCTTTCCACTATTATGGGATACAGTTGAACTTCGAAATCAAAAAGTGTAATGGAGTTTTTAGTTTTGACATCTGTTATATTAGTCTTGTTACCCTCATTCTCTCTCCTCTTTCCTTTTCTTATAATTTATATTGTAACAGCAAAATGGATTAACAACCTACTTACAAGCTTAGTTGAGCACATTATATACGACAATGTCTAATCAAGAAGAAAGAATCTTGTGAAAATGAAATAACATTTTGGAAATGGATAAGATTCTTAAATTTGTTAGTCATAGCACATTTTTTATTTTTCTTTTTTAAGAGCCATGAATGCTATTACTGCTCTACTCAATCCATAAGTATAATTAATACTTTGTTGGGAAATGAGTAGTAGTGCAGGCACACAAGATCAAAGTAAACCCAAGATAAATAACTCTTTCCTCGAGTACTAGTTAAAATAGGAATAAATCAAATCACCAAGTAATAATATCAGCAGTGATAATAAAATGTAAGAAAAATAAAAGGCACAGGATACCAGAATTTTTACGTGAAAAATCCAAATTGGAAAAATCACGGGACTTAGTCCAATCAAAATCTCCACAATCACAATAATAGGAATACACAAGTCTACCCGAAAATATTCGGATGACAATTATATCACCACCACCAACCAAGCAAAATTACTATAAAATCACCCCTAAACACTACAACTGTCAAAGGAGTGGGTATGGAGAGCTATTACCAAACGAAAACGAAATCTGAAATCTGAACCGGTAAATGAATAAAGCTTGACGAGAGGATCGCGCGTGTGAAATTTCGTCCCAATCGGATTTCAAACCACCTTCCAACTGAGGTTTCAAATTTGCAAAGAATTTTCTCTCCCTAACTTTCACTCTTTATCTCTCTTCGTCTCTCTCAAAGTGGTGGCTGTAGCTATTGTTCTCACACCAGGACCGAAGAATTAATCCCTCATGCGGCTGCTCACTTTTCTTTTTAAGCCAAATCTTGACTTAAACCTAAAGGTGTTTGGTTTTGTGGTTTGGCCCACAAACCCAACAATCTCCCCCTCCAACTCATTTGGAGAGTTCCACCAAACCTGCTTCTTGTCTGCAAAATAAGAGTTTCTCCTTAGACAATGCCTTGATAAACATGTCAGCACCATTATTATTTGTATGCACATTCTCAAGTATCAATAATTTGGAATCCAATACTTCCCGAATTTAATGATATCTCACATCAATGTGTTTTGAACCGAGAGTGAAATATGGAGTTCTTATACAAGTGAAAAGCATTCTGACTATCATAATAAAGGTTGTACTTCTCTTGCTTCATACCCAACTCTTGAAGGAATTTTTGCAACCAAAGAATCTTCTTGCATGCTTCAGTGGTTGCGATATACTCTGTCTCCGTATTGGAAAGGGCGATACACTTCTGTAACTTACTTTGCCATGACACTGCTCTTCCTGCAAAGATCATCAAGTACTCAGATGTGGACTTCCTATTGTCAAGATCACCTGCCATATCTGCATCAGTGTACCCATCTAACATAGTTTTACCATTGCCGAAACATAGACACAGTCTAGAAGTTCCCTTGAGATACCTGAGAATTCATTTGACAGCATTCCAATGTTCCTTACCAGGATTTGAGAGATATTGACTGACTACTCCAACTGCATGAGCAATATCTGGCCTGATGTAAATCATAGCATACATCAATCTACCAACAGCCGAATCATAAGGAACTTTTTTTATGTCTTCTTTATCTTTTTCGCTTGTAGGATACTGCTTGATATTCAGTTTAAAATGATCTACAAGTGGAGTTGAGACTTTCTTAACCTTGCTCATGTTAAACCTATTGAGTACTTTCTCAATGTATTTTTCTTAAGACAACTAGAGCTTCCCATTTTGCCTGTCACGTGAGATTTTCATCCCCAATATCTGTCTATCCGAATCCAAATCTTTCATTGCAAAGGATTTACTTAACTCCCTTTTCAACCTGTCAATTTTTATAGTATCACGGTTAACAATCAACATGTCATCAACATATAGTAAGAGAATAACAAAATCACCATTTGAAAAATTTTTCACATAAATACAGTGATCAGATGTAGTCCTGTGGTACTCATGGTCTGTCATGAAAGAGTTAAACTTCTTATACCATTGTCTCGGTGCTTGTTTTAACTCATACAAACTCTTCTTGAGACGGCATACAAGATTTTCCTTACCACTTTCTTTGAACCCCTCCAATTGCTCCATGTAGATCTCATCTTCCAATTCGCCATGCAAGAAAGCTGTGTTCACATCAAATTGTTCGATCTCCAAATTCAAATTGGCTGCAATACCAAGAACAACTCAAATTGATGACATTTTTACCACAGGAGTAGAGCTGTTAATCGAACCAGGTAGCTCGCGAGCTGAGCTCAACTCGGCTCGATAAGAGCTCGACTCGGCTCATTTACTGAAAGAAACGAGCTGAGCTCGAGTTCAACTTTAGGCTCATTTAATAGACGAGCCGAGTTATGCTTGACTCGTTTAAACTCGATAGGCTCGAATAGTAGGATCATTATAGTCATTTCATTGTGTATTTGATACTTTTACCTAATTCATTTTCCCGTTTCTAGCCTTAATTTTTGCTTTCCTCTTTGGGTCTTGCCCTAATGTTCATCTCCCAAACGAACTCGAGCTCGAGTTTCGAGCTCAATAAGCTCGGCTCGATTTTGAGCTCGAGCTCAAATTTTCGATTGAGTATACTGAGTCGATCTCGAACAGTTTGTGAAACTCAAATTACTAATCGAGCGAGGTCGAGCTAGCTCGATAAGAGGTTTGAGTCGAGCTCAATTATCATGTGCTCGAGTTCGATTCGGTTCGATTAACAGCTCTACACAGGAGAGAAGATTTCTTTAAAATCTATACCCTTCTTTTGACTAAATCCATTCACAACCAATCTCGCTTTGTACTTTGGTTGTGAACTGTGCTCCTGAGTCTTCAACTTGTAGACTCATTTATTCTTTAGAACTCTCTTATCCTTAGGCAGTTTTACTAGCTCATAAGCGTGATTCTCATGTAGGAACACCATCTCCCCTTACATGGCTTGCAACCAATCTTCTTTATTCTCATGCTCTAGAGTCTCATAATAGGACTTTGGCTCTCATCCATCTGCCAATAACACATATTCATGAGAATTATATCTGTTAGAAGGTCTCCTCTATCTGATAGATCTCCTAAGTTCATCTTGTGGTGGCGGTGGTGGAATAGGTGGCGCCTCATGCTCAGGTTTATCAACAGTAGGATTATTACTATCATCAATATCCTTTCTCTGCTCTGTTTTAGTTTTCCCTTGATTAAAATTAACAGGTATTGGAACTGGATCTGGATCTGAATTTGAACTAGTAAGAATGTCATCTGAAAATTTTAGATTGTCACTTTTATCAATATCTTCAATGGTTTGATCTTTACAGAAGACAACATCTCTGCTCTTGATCACCTTTTTATTAATAGGGTCATACAACTTATAATCGAAATCTTTATATCCATAACCCAAGAAAATACACTGCTTTGATTTTACCTCAAGTTTTGACCTCTCATCTTTGGGAGTATGAACAAATGTTCGATAACCAAAAACTCTCAAGTGCTTAAAAAATACATCCTTTCCCGTCCATACTCTCTCTGGGATGTCACCATCTAGAGGAACTGATGGAGAAAAATTAATTAAATCGACTGCAGTCTCATAATAGGACTTTGGCTCTCATCCATCTGCCAATAACACATATTCATGAGAATTATATCTGTTAGAAGGTCTCCTCTATCTGATAGATCTCCTAAGTTCATCTTGTGGTGGCGGTGGTGGAATAGGTGGCGCCTCATGCTCAGGTTTATCAACAGTAGGATTATTACTATCATCAATATCCTTTCTCTGCTCTGTTTTAGTTTTCCCTTGATTAAAATTAACAGGTATTGGAACTGGATCTGGATCTGAATTTGAACTAGTAAGAATGTCATCTGAAAATTTTAGATTGTCACTTTTATCAATATCTTCAATGGTTTGATCTTTACAGAAGACAACATCTCTGCTCTTGATCACCTTTTTATTAATAGGGTCATACAACTTATAATCGAAATCTTTATATCCATAACCCAAGAAAATACACTGCTTTGATTTTACCTCAAGTTTTGACCTCTCATCTTTGGGAGTATGAACAAATGTTCGATAACCAAAAACTCTCAAGTGCTTAAAAAATACATCCTTTCCCGTCCATACTCTCTCTGGGATGTCACCATCTAGAGGAACTGATGGAGAAAAATTAATTAAATCGACTGCAGTCTCATAATAGGACTTTGGCTCTCATCCATCTGCCAATAACACATATTCATGAGAATTATATCTGTTAGAAGGTCTCCTCTATCTGATAGATCTCCTAAGTTCATCTTGTGGTGGCGGTGGTGGAATAGGTGGCGCCTCATGCTCAGGTTTATCAACAGTAGGATTATTACTATCATCAATATCCTTTCTCTGCTCTGTTTTAGTTTTCCCTTGATTAAAATTAACAGGTATTGGAACTGGATCTGGATCTGAATTTGAACTAGTAAGAATGTCATCTGAAAATTTTAGATTGTCACTTTTATCAATATCTTCAATGGTTTGATCTTTACAGAAGACAACATCTC